TTGACGTAATCAAATTTATCCAATTTATGTTTGATGCTTAATAACTTTGAAAAAGAAAATCTAAAACCATTTTTAATGTTTTATCTTTTTTTTTAAATTTTTTATATTTTTAATTTGAATGAATCAAATGGTTGAACCAGATGATGGATCTCTCAACTCATGATCCAATGACCAAAACGGTTCGTTGTCCTGTTCGAGTCTGACAACATGTTGATAGCGGCTCTTACCTGCACTACAGTGGCTGAGGCATCGTTGGGCATGCAAGGACAGGGCTAACTTCTTGTCCCAATCAGGTGGGTTTTATTATGGTTCGACAGGTTTGATCCCACACTTGTTTGGAGGGGTGTCAAGTGACCTGATTCTAAACTCGAACCTCTTTTTACTTTTTAGGCTGCGTTTGGTTACAATGCAAATAAATGTATACTGATGCAAAATCATGGCAGTAGAAATGATTTGTGTGTAAACTTTGACCTATTTTTATTTCAAATTTTAGCTTATTTTATTTGATTGCAATATAAATGAAGTAAATTAAGACATAAAGCAGAACAAAGTAAAATCCAAAGTAAAATTGAACAAGAATTTGCATTTTCTACATTTGTACTCCCATTCATTTGTGCTAGTATAAATAAATTTTTGTACTGCAACTGAACACAACCTTAGGGTTTTTTAATCTAAAACTCTCCAATTTTTTTAACATTTTCTTAAATTTATCTTGGCATTTTATACCTCCATCCTCCATACCCCATGTTACCAACTGAGGGGCGTGGATTCGATTCCTACAATCATCGACTTTGGGGATGGGGTTATTAGTGTGGTACTGTGTTATTCAGATGACCCTTATGGGGGATTAGGGGTATCACCAAAAAAAAAAAATAAAATAAAGTGGTCTACCTTCACCGTTATTATTTTTTAATGACAAAAACTTACCTTATTGACCAGTCTACCCTATTAACTAAATTTTATATGACAAAAATAATCTATTAATTATTTTTTATATAAAATAAAGTTTTATTAAAAACAAAAAAAAAAGAGAAGAAAAGTTACAATAAAGCCCATATCCTCTATTCCATATTCATTCATCTCACAACCAACAAATAAAGTTATATCCGAGTGAATGGATGGATGAGCCTATAATTTTGGCTTAAAGGATAAGATGAATAGGAGACTGGCTTCAGTTGGAGCAAATTCATGCCTATATCATTCTAATAGCCTTTTTCAATCTTGTATTGAAAATATCTTTCCATAAAATAAAGTATACAAGTAGGGAGATATTCTCGATGAAAGGCAGTAAAGACGAATTTGCCCTCACTGAAGCTGAACTCAATGAATAGAGAGTCATATGTGTACCTTTTGGCAGTTGGGATCTCGTCCCAACAGGAATCCCACCCACAGGACACCACAACCACATATCTAAATACATGATATATTCCTTATATGCAGCTGTGAGGTATCAAAAGTAAGTAAAAATTTAAAATATTTGATTTCATTATTGTTTATAACCCAAATTGGGTTGATTAATATAAATTGGTAAAAGATATGTGTTGTCAAATTGTATATCAGAATCACTTTGGCTAGGATGATGAAGACGGTTGCTGTTTCTACCCGAGCTTTTTACAAATAGGCCACATGCATTTTAAGGTATGCCTATTTTAACCATGGACAACCTCAAATAACAATTGTATGACAATTTGTTTTGATCAACCAAAAACGCTTAATCTTTATACATTAGAATGAAGGAGTGTTTCAAACCACTATTTTGAAAATCAGACTAGATGGGATAGTCAGACCGTTTGATTTGGGAATCGGTCAGGACTTTGTGAACGTTTTTTTATCATCATTATTTGTGAAAAAACCGTTGCAAATGTCAAAGAATTGTTTATTTGGACGGTCGAACCACAAAACCGTTTAACCCGAGGAGCAGTTTGCGGGTTATGTTTTTTTTTTTTTTTTTTT